CACTGGGAATGGTGGGCACCACCACCACATTTTGCACTGGGAAATCTTTGGAAAACATTTTATGTCCGGGAACTGTGGCAAGAACTGATCAGTGACATTCCAGGGCTCGGCAATATTAACAAATATTACTAATAATATTAAAAAAATAATAACAGTATTAATAAAACTACTAAAAATAGTAATATTAAAAATAAAGGGCAAAGCTCCAGTCCATAAAAGCACCAGACCCACATGGCTCACCCCACAGAGCAAAGCACRCAGCGATTTTATTTTCCCTTCTCGTGCTGCTCTTTAATGTTTTTTTGGGTTTCCCCAAGCAAATGCAAAGCAGAGGGAGTGCAGATTTCCTGGCTGGAAAGTGTGGATTAACAAAGCAACTCTGCTGGGGTTTTTTAATCAGATTGCAGCTCACAGCCTCACCCAGGACACGGCCACAGCTCTTTGGCCTTGACCATAAATGAAGACCCCAAGGAGCTTTGAAAATATTTCATTACACACTGAGAGCAGAATTATTGTGTACAGGCCACATTTCATTCCCTAATCCCCTCAAATCCCCCTTTTCCCAGGATTTCCATGGATCCCAGCATGGACACAGTGCCTGTCATTCCCAGCTGTTTGGTTACAACCAACAGAGAACATTTTGGTAAATCCTGCTGGTATTTTTGCCCAGATATTCTGTGYTTTGATAGAAAAGGATCTTTCCTGGGCTAGAACCACAGGATGGATTGGGTTGGGAGGGATCTTTAAGATCATCGAATTCCAGAGATTTTCCAACTTGAAGCATTCTGTGATTCTCCAATTAACAGAATTCCTCCACAAAAACATGAAAAATCAACCAAAAAAACCAAAACAAAATCAAAAATACTCACAGCCCACCCACAATGGACAATGGCTCATGGGTTTTTCACCCTTTCTCACTTTTGTCCGTTTTGGGGCTGAATCCTCCAGGTGCAGCTCAGCCAATGCAGTCATTCACTCCAACTTGGCTCCCCCAATTCTCTGTTGTTTCCATCTCTTGGGGCCTGGCACAGGGAGGTGTCCTTGAGTTTGGGGCTGCAGAGGAATTGTTTTGTGTAAAAATGGGAGAGCAGGAGCTCAGCACTGTCTGTGGAGTCTGGAGTTAAACACTGAAGAATCACAGGGTTTGGAAATTAA